AATAAAACATAATTTGGACCTGAAGTGGTCTTATCTTATTATTATGATAATTAAGCTAATATTATTTGTATGTGATGTATAAAATTCAGGAGTTCTGCTTGTAAAATGATAAGAACTCTTGTTCAGTTGATGAGAACTCTAGAGAAAATGCCTGAAGAGGTGAGTGAATTCAAATGCTTCGCTTGATATCACATTATCATCACATCATTCACTCTTCACAGTTCTTTGTTTCAATACAAAAACTGAACTCTACTATTTTCTCAGCGTACCATTCTGATGAAGCTCCTCTACTATGATGATGTGACGGTATGTTGTTTAATGTAGAACAGCAAATCTTAGCTGCTTAGAATTTGTTTGTAAAATTATTTAGCCATTATATGGATTGTTGAACTGTTTAGACTCTGGATTTGAAATATATTTTCAATTAGGTTATTGTTTAAACAGGAAATGATTAAAACAACATCAATACAAAATGACAATACTTTTGGTTATGCACCTGGTGAACTCTTTAATGCTCTATTATGCTACTGTGCTGACTCATACAAGCGTGACTTCACACTATACATGTCTTTCATGCAGCCAACGGATTATGAGCCTCCTTTCTTCAGGGAATGCACAGAAGAAGAAGCGAATCATCCTTGGGTGAAAAATCCATTAAAAATGGAGGTCGGAAATGTAAACAGCAAGCATTTTGTCTTAGCTCTGAAGGTAATGGAAGGATATCTTGCTCACAGCCAAGTTTTAAATATGCTTCTAATGCTTTTGCCAATGATTTCTTCTTCCATTTTATAGGTGAAGAGTGTGCTTGACCCTTGTGAGGATGACAATGAGGTCATCCAAGATGATATGAGTGATGATTCCATGCAAAATAATGAGTATTATGATACTGACAGTGAGGTAAGTCTGGATAGATGTTGCTTGATATAGCCATTGCTGTTAAGATTTTGACGACTGTAACTTAGATGAACCACTAAGTAACAGTGTTACTCAAATTTGATATTTTACAATTTCAGGTTGCTCATTCTCAAGGGGATCAATATATAGTTGCACCCATAGGTGATTAGGATTATTATTTTTATTGTTGCACAATTTCATTTAATGTCTCCAATATATTATTTTAATTCGTAAACAATGACAGAGAAACAGCAAGCACAGGAAGATACTAGCGAGATTGATGAAGGTAAACTAGACTCTTAGTTATCTAACAAAAAATTGTTTGCGTGGATTTTGCGTGTTCGTATATTGTAAAATTGTCCCAGAGGAATAACAATTATAGCACTTGTTTTTAGTTGGGCTCTAAAGTTTTCTTCTATTTCTGTAGAGTTAACACAATTACTAGGCCATAAACCTTTAAGTAAATATAGTTAATAAACTCTTCTTTCAGAGAATACCCAGGACCCTGTTGAAGATGAGCAACAATTGGTTCGGGTCAAGGAGTGGCTCAACTGTTGTCACTTGGATACCATTGATCTTACTGACGTTCTATCAAATTTTCCAGACATCTCAGTGGTACCAACCTTTTCCCCATGACTACTTAGATAATGGTTTTGCTTGTCCATTTTAAGATTATGGCCTAACTGCAATTTTAGTTCCTATTGTCCTCGTCTTTTATTAAGTATAATTAGAGTTGAATTGTTTTGCTTGCAGGTTCTGATTGAAGGTAGGAATTTCAATTATCATGTTCAATGTGCTGCAGTTTTCATCCCTTTCGATACTCTGTTGCTCTTGCTTGATTTTGTTTGATTCTTCAGAGATCATGAAGAACCTTGTCAAGGAAGGTGTGCTATCGGAAAAAGGGAATGACACCTATGCTATTATTAATAAGGACAAGGTTAGTATTTTCTCTTAATTGAACAAACTTCGATTCTACTAATCTTTTTATTTCTCCTTTTTATTTATGATTGAATTTTATCGTCAGAAATCTGAATTTGAATTCACCAATGTGAAAGAAGAAACTGATGGTCAAATTCCTCCAGTCCCTGATAGAGCTTTGCAGGGCGAAGATCTCATATACATGAAGGTGGACTTTATTCTTCTTTGATGGATATTTCTGAAGATCTTATCTGACTTGTAAATTGTAATTATGCAACCTAGTCAAAACATCTAGCGCTCAACAGCTTAAGCATAAAAGTGATGTTTCTTGGCCAAAGGAAAGTACATTCTATTTAAACTTGGGCTAGAGATTGAATGAATTGATTCCATATTCAAATTAGAATTTATTTATTGCTCATTGTGAAATGTACCTTATATCTTAAAAAAAACCTGCATCATCTTACGATGGAGAGGATTGAATCTGTAATCAGTAAAAACCACATGATGTATAAACATGGATCTCTTAAACCGCTTCCTTATGATAGATGCCGTTTGGTTATATGACTTCTTTTCTATCTTCGAAGTTAGAACAATTCCCTGTCATACTATTAGTATATATTAATTATATATAAATATCTCAGGCTCTCCACTATACTCTTCCACTGGCTTATGTGTCGGTCACAAAGCTTCAAAGCTCCTTCCAGGGAGAAGTAAGCCAAACAGCAGCAAGAAAGATAATTGATAAAATGACCCGGGATGGGTTTCTTGAACCTAAAGGCAACAAAAGACTAGGTAAGATCTTAACGATCAATTAATAATCCTACTCTTTTTTCTTCTGTTTTTGATTATTTATAACTTCTGTACACCAGGAAAACGTGTGATCCATTCTGAATTGACCCAGAGAAAATTCATCGAGGTCCAAAAAGCTTTGGGTGTTTCTGAAACTATGGTAATAACTGCGGAGCATTTTGGATTTATTAATTACATCATTGTTATATTTGTTTACCTATTGCACGTTTTAAAATTTACAGGATGTTGATGACTGTGAACCAAATAGCAAGTCCAAACAAACTGGTTACCGTATAAGTGGTAAAGTCTATCAATATTTAAAATCCTTCCACAAACTCTAGCTTTTTAGTACTGATCAACTCAGTCAACTTCTAACTATCATATGCTTGCTTTCTTGGTAATCAGGAAGCAACCGAGACATCTCAACATGTGGTGTTCTCCACTCAATTGGATCAGATTTAACACGAATGAAAGTGACATCTGATACAGATAATGCTGACTCCATGAGTGGACCAAAAATGCCAAAGGCAAAAGAGCCAGGAAGCTCCCCAATAAGCAGGGCTGGGGTAAGTTACATATTAACAGATTAAATTTTCAGATTTTACAATTTGTAGCACTGGCTTTTGTTGTTGAATGTTGGCATGTAACTGATGATGTAAATTATTCTTGAATTATTTTAGCCAGTTGCTTCAAGAGAGAGTTTTGCGCACAGGAAAGAGATCAGCACAGCAAATGCAAGTGGAATTGCACATGAAGGCGACGCAGCTGATACAAATATCTGCAGTAAATCGTCCCAGGACAAGCGCCCCAGGAAAACAAGCGCTGTAAACTCTTGCTTTCTTATTCCTTACACTGATCCTATATTTTATTCAATATTGAAAGAAGTCTTTGTGTAATTTGGAAATATTTTATCCTTCTATTGCAGGTCAAGGAACCTATCCATCAAAATATGAAGCGTCAGAAATCGCAGGCTACATGAACCTGATTTGTGGATCGTGCAGTATTTGTTGATGACAAACAAAACTGATACACATCTCAAACTTATATACCGTACAATTAAGCATTTGGCAATGCATACAGTCTTAGAAATAAAGCGTTTGAAAAACATTTTGTTTGCTTTCCTTGTTAACTTTTATGTAACTGGCTTATGCTAAGTACTGCAACTTTACTTCATGGGTTCTTACAAATTTTAAGTAGTTTATAAAACTCTTCCCAATGCCTCATCTTCCGGCATTTTCTAGTTGTTGTAGTTTCTTCATTTTCCACTTCATTACGCGGGCCCAATGTTTGCCATTTATTATACTTTGAAAAATTACGAACTATCTGTAACTCGAAAAAAAATTCAATAGAAACTTATGAATTAAGAAAGGTTTGGTTGGATGGAAGAACCCGTCAAAGCTGAATAATTTTTTAGGTACTCAGAGCTGAAAGTTGACAGCTATGTTGGGTATAATGAAGTGCAATTTGAAGCACTACTAAGAATGTGAGAAATCAAAAAGGGAGAAAAGAAAAACAAAAGCTATGGAACTTGGAAAAGAGGAAAACCTATTTAGGTTCTTATTAGAATCCAAATACAAATGAGAGGTATAAATGCAGTATACATCAGTCATGAATACATAAACAAATTAGTAACTAAAAAGTTAACGGATCAATAAACCGAGTCGGTACCAGAGGGAATAAAAACTCCAATTTGAGTACTGATAATTATACTTTACTGTGATGCAAACGTTGGTTTTACATGTCTATGTTTGTAATGCAATCCAATTTTAATATTTTAATATAATTGTTAATAGTTATTATGTTATATTTTAGTTTTATTTAATAATTTTTTTAATATCAAATACAATTATGTGGTCATATGGATTTTTAAGTCAAATGAATTTCATGTTTGAATGCTCCTTTGATTCATAACGTTATTTTAAGCAACTTGGTCAACTAGTTTGTTATTACGGACATATAAATGCATCCGTACATGCAAATTTGACCCCTCAAAATACTCAAAACGTATAGCGTAGCAACACAGTCGCGCAACTCTGAATACTGTTCTCAAATTCAGAGGAACCACCACGTGGCATGTGGATATACCTAGTGTGGTCTAGAAAGATCCCAAGGAGTCGGTGAAAACGTGGGGCCCACCTTGATGTACATAGAACGGTGTTTTAAATTTGTCGTGACAAAAGAATGAGATTTAGACGATAATATAAGCCGCCCCATGCCGCGAGTCTCAATCCCAAAAGCTAAACACAACTAAACAAGTTGAAAATATTTTCTCCAATTCTATTCGCCACCGTTGTTTCACTCCATTCTGTGTGCCTTTCGATTTGAAGTCTAAATTATTGCTGTTTCATTATAAACATATCTGAACTCAGTAACAATCAAGTTCCATTACAGACAAAGCAATGGAAACCTACGAGGTAGTTATCAACTTATCATGATTAATTTTTTTTGTGTGGCTTTTCTTATAATTCTTTCGGCGATCTCTCTTTGACTGTTTAAGGATTTTGTGCGTGTATGCAGGTAAAAGGGAAGGCTGAGAACAAGAACAAAGAACTAAAACGCTTGGGGTTTGTGAAGATCGCAGCTATTCACACTTACGTGTTTGTTTCATATCTGTATGAATCCGCAAAGAAGAACTCAGGGTCTTTGAGATCCGCTGTTGAAACGGTGGAGGGAACAGTAACAACTGTTATTGGTCCTGTCTACAACAAATTCAAGGATGTCCCTGATGATGTCCTGCTTTTTGTTGACAACAAGGTAATTCTCTTGATTAATAATTTAATTTAGATTAAATCGGTGTTTTATTTGTATATTTTTATTGAAAACAAGCTAGCTTTTGTATCTCAAATTAAATTTGTTTTTTTTTTTCTTTTACCTTCTTGCACACTTATGTTTGATGTGGCTATTTTATTACAATTCCTTTTGTCTTCTTGCACAACAGGATCAATATATGTTTTAAATCACCGTGATTTTGAACTTATTGTATTTTCAGGGTGATTATTTCCTTAAAAATTAGGAAAAAGAAAAAAACTCATGCTAGAATCTTAGTGAAATGAATTATTTGGTCCCTTAATTTATCAATCGATTTATGGCTGAACTAATTAACTTCACATATGGGAAGGTGGATGAAGCTACTCACAAGTTCAACGAACATGCTCCTAGTATTGCTAAACAGCTTGCAGACAAATCCAAAAGTTTGATTCAGAAAGTGACATATGAAGCGGAGAAAGCTGTGCATGTGGCTCAATCTGAAGGACCACGAGCAGCTGTAGAATATGTTGCCTCAGAATCCAAGAATTTGCTGCTAATTAATTCAGTGAAGCTGTGGGCTGGACTCAACCAATTTCCACCTTTTCATGCAGTTGCAGAAATGGCAATCCCCACCGCCGCTCACTGGTCTGAGAAATACAACCATGTAATCAAGGCCATGGCTGAAAAGGGCTATAGGTTTGTTGGTTATTTGCCTTTGATACCTGTTAATGATATATCTAAAGCATTTAAGCAAAGGAAGGTCAATAACTTGAAAGGAGATGGAGTGGTTTCAGTGGAAAAGAAATTAGAATAATCTTATTCTGTTTTGAGTTTTAGTTACTCATTTACAAAATGCCTTTAACTTTTTAAGTGACTCTGTTTTCAGAATTGAGACAATTTGAGCCTAGTTGTGGCTATCAATGTTTGAAGTTAGTATGATCTTTTTGTAATTAATCCATAGTGATAGTGATAATGTAAATGTGCGATAATGGTTATGAAGTTTGCTTAGTTTTATTTATGACAAGTACTAGTATTGGCTATTAAGTCTGATTATATTGTTTACACAACCGTTTAACCGGATGTAAATTTGTCGATTAACATGAACAAAAGCTGTGGCCACTTTATTCTGAGAAGTATCTTTATCAGAACCCGTTCCAAATCTATAGAAGGCTGGTTGAGACGATATCAACCTCTACTGAGTCTACCTTGGCCAACAATTGAGTTCTAGTTGTTTTCTTGTATTCCTTATATCAGTGGTCATTTTCCATGTTATCTTCAGAGAAATGAACAGAGAGCAAAATATAAAGATAAGGAGCTAACAAACTTCAACATATTAGAGAACACACACTAAATATCAATAGATTAACAACGTATTAATGTATTATATTGTTTGGATTGACTTTTGGAAGACTGAGAATCAATTCAAGAGGTGTATAATTGATTTTGGGTGGTTTTGAGATGTTTTTTTTATTAAAAATAAAATTAATTCTATTTTTAGATTGATTCTATTTGAAGTTAGAGTTTATAATTTTTATTGATGATTTTTTATTGAAATTTATTGTTTAATACACTTATATATAAATGTATCCAAATATAAATTAATTATATTCAATTATACAAAATTCAATTCTACTAAAATTAATTATGTTGATCCCCAATCCAAACACACTCTTAGTCATTTCTTTTACCTTTAGATTTCTTTATTTTCTTGTCAAGATTGAAAGTCTTGTCAAAACCATTGACAATTCTCCATATCTCAAGCATGCATTTGTTCTTAGCCGCAAATAGATATGATTGGGCAAATAACAAATATGAATTTATATTTTTCCGGAAATGTTCATGGTGTGGAATTATGCGCGGGCAGGTTTAAAAATGAAAAAAAAAAAGAAAAGAGTATTTATAAATAAAAGTCAAGATAATTTAATAAATATTTACGAATAAAATATACTTTATTCAAGATAATTTAATGAATATTTATGAATAAAATAAATGAATATTTAAATATATATTTATTAATAAATACGTAGGCAGGTTTAAAGATATCTATATCCACGAATATCCATATCCATGTCTATTAATAAATTATAAAATTATTTAAATATTATTTTATTTTTTTGACATTTTGTCTTTTATATAAATTTTATTTAGTAATTTTATATTTAAGTTTCTTCAATACTCTAAATCTTAATTCAACAATTTCACCATTCAAACAATTAGTATCGTCATTTCTCTATCCAATCAATATCTTCTTTTCTACTCGTTCGTCGTTCGCTATTTCACTTTAACTCACAATGACAATATCTTTTATTTGTTATGGCTAAAAATGAAATCTATGGATATTATGTTTGGATGTTATTATATTTTGGTGAAATCTTCAGAATCTGCCACCAGAAGCTAGCAATGAAGCAACTCCAAGTGTATCTTAAGTAAAATTGATTATGATTATTTATGTATAAGAACCTGCATAAATAAAACAAACATCAAATAAATCATTGTTCTTTAAATACTTTTTTATCATCAAAATTAAAGAGAATATGTCAAGAAAAAATCTTGTTCTAACAATGAGATCCTAAAAATGCCAGGATATAATGAATTAGGGCCTAAAACTAATATATTAGATGGACTAATTTTGGAAGATATGGTTCTCCAATTTTATAGGTAGAATCATCATTGAATGTGTGCAACTTTTACAACCCAAAATATCCAGAGGCTGCACTATAAATAGGTAACTCTTTTTCACTCCTTTGCATCTCATATTTTATTCTTTCTTTTTGTGTTATGTGTGAGTCTCACTCTATGCTGTAAGTATCATCACCCATGGCCTTATCAAAACGCCATTAATATAGATATTCTTCATCAATAAGCTCTTTGTAGAAGGGATATCACCAACAAATCAAGAAATAAATATGATGACCAACTAAAGAGTGATTTGACCATCGTTCATGGAGGAAAGCTTCCTTAGAAGCTTCAAGCCATACATCTATATTTGTCAAGGTATGCTAAGAGATTTCATCACTAAGGAACCTGATTAAATGTTTCCGAGTCTTGTGAAAGAATTATACTCAAATCTAATAACTAATGGAACATAATTGAAGTCAAATATAAATTGGCACCCATATAGATATGTTTGGAGGAATGTTTGAGCTAACTTTCCAAGGGGTATCTTATGTTGTTCTTTTTTGGATTGTATGCATTATACAAAACAACATGGTATGTTTAGGCTATTTTTATGAAGAAAGGACACATGTGCGAACAAATGTCTCAACATGTGTGAAACATCTAGCCCTTATCACCAGACCAATGTTGTAGCTGTTTTGCGCGTTATTTTATGGTTGTTTCAATAAAATTTATTGTTATTTGTTGCTATCTATTAGAAATGCAGTTATGTAGATTTGTTTGATTATATTGGACATGATCAAATCAATTCAAATTGAGATTTAAATTTGAATCAAATCAAATATTTTTGGAGGATATTTGAAAAAAAACTTAACAGAATATCCTACAATTCTGGCCGTGATCAAATTCCCATTGGAAAAGCCTTGAGTTTGCATAGCTATTTAAGGAGATTCAAACCTAACGTTTGAGGTGTTTGAGCACTTGTTTGTGTTATTGTTTATGCACCACTCTAGCGCATTCATTCATATCTTAAAGCATGAAGTTTGGTTTGTTTAGTTGAGTTGTACTTCAATAATCATCATTTTGTTTATTTAGTTGATCACTTGGGATTGGTGATTAAGAGAAAGTAAGAGGGGTTATCATATTTAGAGGGAGTCCTAAATAGAAAGTCACTAGGATTAGGAAGAGGCATTGAACAACATGAGATTTTTGTTTCTATAAGACTAATTGTACTAATTCAAAATTATAAATTTTATTTCTTGGGTAGAGTTCCCCCCAGACGTAGGTGTGGGTTCATCGAACTGGATTAACAAATCTTTGTGTCCTTTTATTGCTTTTTGCATTGATCATTGTTGCGTCAGAATCAGATACCAAACTATTAATTAACTTGAATCACAAATATTTGAAATTCACCACCGAGCTTTGATTTATCCAAAGAAAAGGGTAAAGATCGAAAAAAAATCCTAATTGCACTGTAAAAAAAATGCAGGAGGTCTAAGGTTCGAGGGTTGATTATACCTTGGGAAGATGTTAACATCCTAAGCATCTGTAGTATTCTACAGGAACCTCTTGCTTTATTTGTGTTATTTGTTATCTGTTAAAGGGTTGAAAGGTGACCTAAGGGGTTAGTCCTAAGTATGCTCGCCAAGACATCGCATCTCGTGCCTACGTATCCTGACGGGAATGGAATCAGAGCATTCGTAGCTCTCCTCAATAAGGGTGAGGAACTCTTGACTATGGTCAAGGTTCCAAGGGGGAAGTAAGTGTTCATAGTCAGACACTTACATGGAGTGCGGCGACTCCAAGTCTAAAGTTTAATTTGAAAGGTAGGTAAGTATCCATGGCAGGAACTTACGAGGAGTGCAGCGACTCCGATACTAAGGATAGGATGGAATGGAAAGATAAGTAAGTGTCTGAGGCAGGACGCTTGCATGGAGTGCGGCGACTCCGAATCTAAATTTGAGTTGAAAGATAGGTAAGTATCCATGGCAGGAACTTACGAGGAGTGCGACAACTCCTGATCCTAAGGCTAGGATGAAGTAAGAAGATAAATGAGGGTCCATGGCAGGACATTTGTGTGGAGTGCGGCGACTCTGATCCTAAGGCTAGGATAAGGGTAACGTTCTAAAATTAATATTGTCATGGCGGTCCAGACAGAAATTAAATCAATGGATAAGTATTATGAAGACAACTTATAAACTAAACAAAGACCAAATACACAAACTCAAAGAAAACGGGCCACAAGGGATTACACGAAGTCAGTATCATGAGTTAACTACGAAATGAGGTTATCAGGATTAAATTTAAAAAGCTAATTAAAAATAGGTGAAAGATTATATAGGAAACAAAAATAGAATAAATTTAATTTGAAACATAAATAATTAAATTGATTAACTAAATTTAAATGAAAATTAAGATAACTAAATTAAAAAACTAAAACCCAAATTACTTAAATCTTAATTAAAATTAAATCTTAGTTTAAATTAAAATTATATCTTTTCCTATTACAAATTTCCTACTTTCTTGTGCTTTAATTTTCAATATGTTTTGAATTAAATGTTTGCTTTTCTCCTTTAACATATTTTACTATGTGCTTGAATATTTCCATCTTGCATCTTTTTCCGCCTTTTTGATTATGACAAAGGGGGATAAGTATACTCTCCAAGAGAGTAGAATATACTCTCTACTAATGTGAGGGAGAGTTTAACCACTCCAAGTTTTTATCTACCAGTTTTCTTTTGCCACCTCTTTGAGAGATGTATTGTCATATTAAAAAAGGGAGAACATGGAACTATGTGTTTGAAGGTTTAATTAAGAAGCGATCAAAGCCAAATATGCCTAGCCCTGATAACATCATGTTTTTTATGATGACTGTAACAGCCCAATTTTTCAATAAGTGATTAATTGTGCTAATTAATTGGTTTATGTGATTTATCTGATTTAAATAAATTATTGGATTTATTTAAATGAGTTAATGGATTTAATTAATTTATTCTACTTGGTAGAATAATGTGGATTTATTAGATATTCTCTAATTAATGATAAGATGAGATATTTTGTGAGAAATGAATTGATAGGTATTTTTTTAGAGAAGAATTATGATAGAAAGAAAATAGAAGGATATATAAGGGAAATTGGAGAGAAAAGAAAAGAGATAGAAACATAAGAGAAAGAAAGAAAGAAAAGGAGAGAAAGAAT